TGTAATGACATGTATCCACCATTATATTACCACACAGAATAGTTTCACTGCCCTAAAAGTCCTTTGTGGTCCACCTCCTCACCTTCTTTCCCCTAATGTCTGGAAACCACTGATCATTTTACTGTCCCCATAGTTTTGCCTTTTTAAAATGTTACATTGTTGAAGTCATACAGTAAACAGCGTTTTCAGATTAGCTTCTCAGGGTTGTGAGTTCAAACCCGACCTACTTAAAAAAAATTTCCTCTGTGTTTTTTCATGGCTGAGAAACATGGCTGTGCTTTTTCATTTCTTTTTAGGATTGTCTGGATGTACCAATAAAATTGGTTTGTCCAGGTTCCTATATTTAGTGGGATTGACTTTGGCATATTGGAGTCTAATACTATGAAAATAATTACACAATACCCTGTCACTTTCTATTTTAATGGCTGTCTTATCATTTCTTATTTTGAATGTTTTTGCTTTTGTCCACTTTTTTCTAGATTAGGTTTACTAGTCAGTCTGTCATTAAAATATATTTTTTTCAAATAGCAGGCCGATTTACTTATTCACCTATTGGTTCTCTGTATTCAGCCTCATTGATTTCTGTTTTTATCTTTATTTTTTCCTTCTGCTTTTCTTTGGTATAGCTTTTTTTTTAAGATTTTATTTATTTATTCATGAAAGACACACACAGAGAGAGAGAGAGGCGCAGAGACACAAGCAGAGGGAGAAGCAGGCTCTATGCAGGGAGCCCGTCGCGGGACTCGATCCCGGATTTCCAGGATCACACCCTGGGCTAAACCGCTGAGCCACCAGGGCTACCCTGGTATAGCTTTTTGAGTTAGAAATATAATCCATTTATAGTCATTCTTTTATTTTCATTGTATAAACATTTGAAGGCTACAAAATTTCCCCTAATAATCACTGGTTTGTTTTTTATAGATCCTGATAAATACTGTTTCCATTTATTTTTTGTTTTTAGAAATTATGAATTCAACTTGTATACTGTGTCTCATTTCGTCCAATACTTCTTTAAAAGTACACTTTAAAATTTCTAGGTGGAAAGGATCATTTTCTTTCAGATTTTGTTATCAATTTTCAGTATTATTATAATGTTTATTACTATCATTTAATTAAAATACTATCTGCATTATTTCTAGTTCTATTATCGAGGAGTGACACAGTACAATGTTAATTTTCATGACCGAGTCCAAATGTGCTTGGGGAGAAAGTATACTCTCTATTTCTGAGGTGTAAATTTAAATATATCCATGAGATTTACTTTATTTATTATGTTGTTCGATTTTTTATATGTCTAATTTGATCTGTCAGGCCTGCATTGGCTTGAGAGAGATGTTGATGTCTCTCATTTTTATTGTATTTTATTGTAAACTGAGCAGTATGGTAAATTCAATATTCTGCATTTGAGAGTAAAACAAACAAGATATACAACAGGGTTCCTCTAAGTGGTGGTTTTATTTTGCTAAAAACTTCTCTAGGTTCTAATCCAGGGACTGCCGATACTAGTTTTATGTTATTAGACGAATATTTAATTCTCAGGCTTTGTCTGTCTCCCATGTAAAATGAGATGAGTTATGGGATATTTCTTTAATCCAATACAATAATTTATCAATACAATAAAAGTGCTTTTGAAATAATGCCCACTGTTACTAAAATTATTGCAATAATAGTGATTATTTGTTAAATGCTTCCTCCCTGCCAAGCTCCATGCATAGCACTTTACATATATGTTTTCATTTAATAGTGGCATATTTGTCTTAGTTTTTCTTCAAACTCTAGAATGTTGGCCTCTTTGATTCGATTGGCAGAAACTTGATTGATTGGCTCAGTATTTTAGGAGACCATCAACTGCATAAATTGACAGTGGGTACTTGCCTGTTGTTGGATCCAACTTTTTATTTGAATCAGGACAATGGTCAGAGAGATCACATTGGTCAAGGGAGCAATTAGCCAACATTTATTTCTGTCAGTTTCCAGGTTTGGCAGGAAACAAGACCAGAATGAGATAAGGAGCTCAGATCTTTACAGGGTGTGATTGAAATCTTGGACAAAGAGGAACAGAGCCATTTTCCTGGCCAGCTATTTTCATCCCAGGCCTATACAAGTGCTCCCAATGTTAAAAAATATTGTGGCGAAAGATTGTTCCTTGAGATCAGCAGACTTAACATCCTAACAAGGAGTAGCTTAGTTCTAAGCCAATGTCCTTTTGTCTTTAGTAGTAACTCTGTTGATAAAATGGAAGTAGTAAGATGGTTTCATCCCGCCTCAGATTAATTAACATAATACATGCCCCTTCAGCTAAAGATAGTTTGTGTTGTTCTTAAACTCAGTTATCCATCTGGTCAATCATGTAACGTTATTATCTTCTATTACCATCAGGATTGATAAATAGATGATACTAGTGTCAATTTTTCTTCCTTCTGTGCCCCTGGCAGAGACTCAGTGTCTATTCAATTTGTATCTTTTCTTGCCAAACTTCCCAACATGACACCCAAGTACAAGACTAGAATTTGCTCCCACTATAAAATCCATTGCCATTCTTACATAGGCACTCTGGATGCAAAGACAAGGAGCTGGGCAGCCTAGTGTGGGACACAGGAATGTAAACAACAACTCTAGTTCACAGCAATCCATGCTGTGACAGAGAGGAGTTGCTGCCTAACTTTAAGAGTGGTGAATTTAATTTCTTTAATGGCACGAGGGTATCCAACTCACTTGATTGCGTCAGACTATGTTATTTGTCCTGCTCAGTACAATGTGCCAGTAGGTATTGAATGTCTGCTTTGGCAGTTCTCACCATATGCCACTGCATGCTTGTGTACCAAGTCACAGATGTGCTTTTAGTTTGATCAATTTGTAAAATTTGTGTTTAGCACAATTGGAGCTGCCAATTCTCTCAGGTAAGCTGTTGAACTGAATGGGATCTTTTGCTATAAATACAGATGCTGGATGTAAATAATAGCTAAGAGGCATAACACAACATCATACTATATCATTGTACTATCTCTGTTTTTTTTTTTTTTTTTTTTTTTTTTTTTTTTTTGGTGCATGGGAGAATGTGGGCAGGGCTGAGTTCATGGCAACCCTGACTCTGCCAGTCAGAGATGTAAGCATATGAGCCATCCGTTCACATGCTCAGTGTTGTGTTTCAAAAGAACCGGGTGTGGCTCTGTTTGGTTTAGGTATGCATCACTTTTTATTTTCATTTCAAAGCATAGAGGATCTGTTTCGGTGCTCCTGTCATTAGTCTAATTTGCTGATTTAAAAGTAGGTTTTGCTTTTATATCCAAACAGGCATGGCTAGGAGACACTATAGATCATTAAAAGACTCTAACTGGGGACATCTGAAAACATTTTGAGACACTTTATTCTGGACTCTGGTAAGTGCACTAGATACAATATGGAACAATAGTCCTTTCACTTTGAGGACTTGTAGCATAGATGCCTAGAAGGGAACAATAATTAAATGATTCATAATATTTTCTCCAGAGACTGTTGCCATGATGATTTTGCAGCCTCTACTCTAAAGGAAGCAACCGATGTAAAATGGAAATGAATAGCATGAATAGAACAGAGAAGAAAAGTAACAGACAATGCTTTGTAGACAGCTCCATGAACCCTAGAGCCCACACTTTCCTGAAACTGGCTCTTCAATTTGTATGTATTGCATCCGGCAAAATGTTTCTATGAAAAGACACTCTCAGACCAGAAGGATCTTCTTGCTTTATAGACCTTTGTTGTGACCCAAGCCATTAATTATAAATAATGCACACATGGGTAGTCTAAGAAGAGAAGTGATGCTATCGGAATGATTATCTTGGAATACAAGGAATGGCACATAGGTTGACACTGTGCTGTTTTGTTGAATTGAGCTCTTGCCCATCAAGAAAAATGTGCACGTCAAATAACTGAATCATTTCAGTACTCAAAGAGGTACAAGTTTTTGAAACGGTTGTCCCAAACCGTGGGTAAGATCTACAATTATTTTTTTTTCTTCTTCATTAATATGTGTTAACTGAATGCATTATCAAAACTCTAATGTCTGCTCCTTACCATTTGGTTTGGGTCATAACCACCAAATTTAACTAAGTAATCCAGGCAAGATTCTGTAGCCACACAATATATATGAACTTGGATTTATAAGAAGTTAAATTTGATTGCAATACAAACACAATAAATATTTTAAAGTCACTTATTTATGTAACAACAGTGAGTTCATACAATACCTTTCATTCAGGACTCTAAGTGCTTTAATAATGCTGCCCTAGCAGTACAGGAGGTAAGTGGGAGTCAAATGACATCATCCTGAGTCCAAAGGCATTGAGTAATTTGCTGGTATATCAAATTGGCACCTGCAGGTTGGATTCCCAAGGACCCAGCTTCCAGTGAGTTTCAGATCTGGAAGATGTATACGGTGTCATAGGATTGAGGCCTTTCTGGAGCCGGGGGAGGGAGGGACCCAGGATTCTGCATTTTAACAAAGCCTCGCCTTCCCCCCAGGGGATCCTGAAGTCTGGACCACGCTGTAAGAAATACCGACCCAGATCTTAGAGGTCATCAAGTCCCAAATCTTCAAAGGGTCCGCAAAGATTAGATGAGTTCGTCAAAGTTTGGCAGCTAATTTGCACATCTGCGCTGTCACCCCCATCTCAAAGACCCGGGAGTCCGGGAAGGTCGGAGAAATTCCTCGATGAAATGGGGCGGAAAAGCTTTTTTGAGGGAGTCTGTGACATCCCTCCTACCCCCGGCCGTTAACCCGCCCCGAGTTAGCATTTCCCTCCGACCGTCTCCGACGTCCCGAAACACGGAAAGAAAGTTGGCGGCCCAGGGCGGCCGCGGGCCCGCGGGGGAGGGCGGCTCCGCCTCCGGGCCCGCGGGCGGGCTGCGCACTGGCGGCCGAGCGGCGGGCGCGGGACTCGGAGGCGGGCGGCGGGCGGGCGGGGAGGCGCGGGGCGTGGTTTGCAGCTTTCCAGGCGCCGAGGAGCGGAGCGCGCTGTGCTGCGCGCGGAGCCTCGGGCTGGACCGAGAACGGAGCGGGAGAGCCAGCGAAGGGCGCGATCCAGGGAGCGAGGCCCGCGGGGCCCGACCTGCGCCGGCCCCGGCCCGCGCCCGCGCCCGCGCCCACGCCCCTCGGCCGGCCAGCGGCGGTGAGCGCGGTCGCGGCCCCCGGCGCCCCGGTGCGCCCCGGAGAGCGCGGGCTGGGGCGGGGAGGGAGGGAGGGAGGGGAAGGGGCGGGGGCGGGCGGGGGCGCGGGGCCCCAGCCGCTGCGGGGGTCCGAGCCCGGCCCCCGGAAACTTTGCCCGGGTGGGGAGAGCGGGGTGCGTGGAGGGCGCCGCAAACTTGTCAGCGGGCGGGGCGCCGCGGGGACGGAGCGAGCGCCAGCGGGCGGCGTGGGTCTCTCCGGCTTCTTTGTGTCACCTCCGGGCCCCAGCGCGCCGGTCCGCCCGGCTCAGAACGGGGCTGCGCGGGGGGCTCGGCCCCGGTCCCCGCCCTGCCCCCCCCCTCCCCTCCCCGCCCGCCGCCGCCGCCGCCGCCGCCGCCGCCGCCGGGCCCAGGCCCCCGCGCTCCGGATCCGCTGATTGTTTTCGTCCCTCGCGTCACGCCTGGGCGGGAAAGATTTTGAAGCGCGCGTGAGCTGGGGGCGGAGAGCCGGCGCGGGCGTGCGGGGCGCGCGGGGCGCGGGCGGGCGGGGCCCCCAGCGCGTCCCCCACACCCCGCGGGCCGGGGCGCTCCGGGCGGGAGGGGGCGGCCCGCGCGGCTCGCCCTGGAATTCCGCTGGGATCGCTTGGGGTCTTTGTTGTCTGAAATTGCCTTGAGGGTCTGACGGGAGCACTCTCTCCCCTTGAGGTTGTTTTTTCTTCTATTATAAAAGCGGGCGGTGGCGGTGGCGGTGGCGGTGGGGGTGGGGGTGGGGGTGGGGGGGCCTGGGTGGAATCAGTGCTGCTCGCAACACCGCGAGCCACCTTGTTGGATGATGGAGCTGGACAAGCCCCGGGTAACACTGGCCTTTGTGGGCGCTCGTTATTTCCGAAAGTTATGATTTCCCCCTCCCCTAGTGGAAGGGAGCGCCCGAGCTGGGTGCCGGCCGCGCGGTTGTGTGCGAGCTCCAGCAGGTCAGAGCCCAACCCAGCCAGGGCGTTTCTTTGTAGCCGCTCGGCACTTGGGCATCGCTTTTCTTCTTCTTCTTCTTCTTTTTTAAAGTTCGTGAGATTTGCAGCAACTTTCATCCGCCCTTCTGAAAGTTTCCAGAGCTCCGAAGTCCTCCTTGCGGTTATCATGTGGTTGTGCTCGGATGGGTTCGGCCACTTTCAGGGCTGGGGGCTACGATGAGCGTCTGAACCTACTACCTGGCCCTAAACCACCGCGACCCCTGCCACCGAGACCTCGCAAATATCACCAGGCGCGGGCGTTCACCTTTTGGGAGATGGACTATTTGCCGTGTCCCTGTGCCTTAATGCATGACCCCTTTTTGAGCTTTCTCTCTGGAAAACCGTTGGGACTTTCAAGGGCTTTCCCGAGAGAATCACTCAACGGCCTTAGCCCCGCCATTACACCCCTCCCGCCTAAGGCCCCACGAGGGCGAAGAAAGCAGGTGTATTCCTCACCATGAGTTTCGGTGAAGACTCTGGAGATGCCGAAATAAGTAAAAGAGTGGGAATTCTTAGTTCTTTGTTCACATGCTTGAGTTAACTGAACTAAGTTTGAAATCAACAAAAATAAAATCCAACCAGTTTGGTCACTTTAGCCCCGTACATTAAGACTGCTAAAAAAAAAAAAAAAAAAATCATGGGAATAAGTTTACCCAATTAGCAATTTTACAAGCATTTCAGTGCATTAGTGCTAGTTGTGTTTGCAGGATATTGCCGTTTGTTTAGAGAACCGAATCACAAGGATTATTCTAGGTAGTGCCCAGTAGCTTAACAGAGTTTAAAGCTCAAAAATGGAATCTGCCACGTCTTAATAAGGAAGGGTAAAAGTGAAATGCAATTGGTTAATTTGTCGTTACCCAGATGTTTTTAATATAGATTTTTGGTAATTTCGCAAAATTATTCATCCGTTTACTCAGATAAGCTCTTAACCGTATGTTGACGATGGTGCTGAAGTCTGGGGTTCCCAATAATAATAGTTTCCACTTATGGAGTGCTTATTTTGTGCCAGTAAATGCTTTGCATAGATTACCTCACTTAATAAATATTTATCGAGGGCCTACAATGTATTGTGCTAGGTGCTGGAGTTGTAATAGCACAGGCTCGGGACTGCTGTGGTTCCCGCCAGTGGTGGGGAAGAGCTGGGGAGGATCCACAGAATGTGAAAAACATTAGCAAACTAATTGCAGTTTTAAAAATGTCCATCAGATCACACACTTCCCTGTTAAAAATTCTTCAGTGGCTTCCCATCTCCCTCCGAGTGAAAGGCAGACCTGACAGTGGCCCCCAGAATTTACACCATCTTGGTCCTCCTCCTTCCCCAGTCCTTCACCTTTTCGATCTTATCTGTTGCTCTGCTTCTTGCTCATACCTCTCCAGCCAGACTAGTTTCCCTGCTGTTTGAGGTGCCTTTGGCCTTGCCGTTTCCTCTGCTTGGAATGCCCTCGGCGCAGCCCCCATTTCTGTCTGGTTCCCTCCCTGACCCCCTTCACTTCTTTACGCAATATTGTGTTCTCAGTGAGCAGTGGCAAAACCCCAGATTTAAAAATCATAACCCCTCTTGCAACTCCCATTCCCCTGTTGACGATTTATTGGGTTTCTCCATGGCATCTATGACCATAGAACTAATATACTCAGGATCTCTGGGTGGCTCAGCGGTTTAGCGCCTGCCTTTGGCCCAGGGTGTGATCCTGGAGTCCCGGGATCAAGTCCTGTATCGGGCTCCCTGCATGGAGCCTGCTTCTCCCTCTGCCTTTATCTCTGCCTCTCTCTCTCTCTCTCTCTCTCTCTCTCTCTCTCTCTCTCCTCTCTCTCTCTCTCTCTCTCTCTGCGTGTCTCTCATGAATAAAAAAATAAAATCTTTTAAAAAATAAATTAAAAAAAAAAAAGACCTAACATACTCTGGGTTTTACTCATTCCCCTGCTAGACCACACTCCATCGATGCTGGTAGTCACTGTGGTGCCCTCAGAATCTGGACCAGGGCCTGATGAGCCGTAGGTCCTTAAGCATTTGTTGAGTGGATGTTGAGTAGAAAGGAGACAGCAACCAGGAGCTCCTGTGTTAATGATGAGAAGGCTTCTCTGTGGAGCTGCTGTTTCTGCTGCGTCTGTGATGAGAAGGAGCTGTCCGTGATGTTGGGGCAGGAGGCTGTGGGGACCATGAGGCATCACGGAAGATCAGCAGGCGAGACAGCACTGAGGCAGGAAAGAACTCCGCGACTTGTGGCTTTATTGCAACTGGGAGGGGATGTTTGTGCCTGAGCTTCGTCAGCTGGAGGGAAAAAGCTAAGTGAAGATGGAGTGGTAATCAGGTGAAAGACAGGGCCTGTGTAGGCCAAGGTTTGGATAAATTCACAGTGAATCCTCATACATACCCTTCCAGCCCTGTTTGAAATTTTGTAAAACTGGGCATCAGATAATATTCTGAGGCTACCTGGTAGGTGAATGGCAGTGCCTAGGCTAGGAAGCCAGGCTCTCCGACCTCAGTATATTATATTTGACCACTGTGCCAGCGTCAAACGATATAGACCCTATCCTTTTTTTTTTTTTGATTTTTATTTATTTTATGATAGTCACACACACACACACACACACACAGAGAGAGAGAGGCAGAGACACAGGCAGAGGGAGAAGCAGGCTCCATGCACCGGGAGCCCGACGTGGGATTCGATCCTGGGTCTCCAGGATCGCGCCCTGGGCCAAAGGCAGGCGCCAAACCGCTGCGCCACCCAGGGATCCCTATAGACCCTATCCTGATGGATGAGCCCTTGCTGTATACATGTGGCAGTGTGGGACAAGATGGGTTCTTCAGGGCTGTGGGACAAGGGAAGTACCTGGTTCTGCCTGGGAGTGGAACAGGCCAAATAGGAAAAAAATGAAATAATTTTTCCTTTTTAAAAATTATTATGAAATATTTCAGATTGGCTATATCTTAATTAAGAAATGATGTTTTTTTTTTTAATTTTTATTTATTTATGACAGTCACACAGATAGAGAGAGAGGCAGAGACACAAGCAGAGGGAGAAGCAGGCTCCATGCACCGGGAGCCCGACATGGGACTCGATCCCGGGTCTCCAGGATCGCGCCCTGGGCCAAAGGTGGGCGCTAAACCGCTGCGCCACCCAGGGATCCCAAGAAATGATGTTAATGTTAAATGCAATAGCCTGTTCTTCAGGGCTTCCCTGTGTGTTCACTTTTTATTCTTGCTTTCACATCTACCAATGACCTGTGTCATATACCCTCTTTCCTACTTTTACCAAATAAAAGATTGTGTCTGGAACAGTGTAAAATCACTTATGTTTGAAGCCTGTAATTCTTCACTGATTTGCAGGTTATGTTCTTTTTTGATTGTTACCTTAAACTGTCTACACTTTGTGGGGTAGTGTGATAATTCTTACACTGGCTCTGTTGAGTGTAATTGACACACAGCTGCACATATTTAGAGTGTAAGATTTGGTAAATTTTTTACATATATGTAGACCTGTGAAACCATCTCTCCCTTGGGCCCCTCCCTACACCCTGCATCCTCTTTTTCTAGACAACTGAAGATACAGTTTTCTGACCCTATGGATTAGTTTGTATTTTTAGAATTTTATATAAATGGAATCATGCAGTACGGGCTCTTTTTTTGTCTGGCTTCTTTCACTTAGCACAATTATTTGGAGATTTCATCCATGTTGTGTGTATCAATGATTCATTCCTTTTTGTTGTTGAATGGTATTCCATAGTATGGATATATCTCAGTTCATTCATCATTCACCCATTGGTTGACATTTGGCTTTTTTTCCAGTTTCTGGCTATTAAAAATAAAGCTGCTGTGAATATTTAAAAATTTTTTTTGAAACGATTTTTTAAAAATTTATTTGAGAGAGAGGGAGAGTGAGAGAGATCACAGAGGGAGAGGGAGAAGCAGACTCGCTGCTGAGTGGACAGGCTGATGGGGCTTGATCCCAGGATCCTGAGACCATGAAGGCAGATACGTAACCAACTGAGCCATCCAG